AGCTCGTTATTTTTTTCTACTTAAGTGGAACTTTATTAGCAAATTGCTTAAAAATTGTGTTACAACCTTACTTCTTTATAATAAGTCATGGTTCAATTCCATTCTTAAGCAAGCTAACTTCTAGCAGTTAGCTGTCCTCGCATGGGGCAATATTTGAAAATTTTGAAATATCTTTGTTTTGGCTTTTAGTCCTTTGTGTTAGGGTTTGCTAAACTAAGGTGACATGACAGAGTACAAACCTGTAAAAACTATTAATGATCTTTTCAACTAGGAAGTTACCTTGGTTTTATCACTTTTACCATAGTTAATATCTAGGCTCTGCCACCTCTTGAGGAATCTCCTTGGAGGCGTGTAGTAATCTGGTGCTTCTTTTCGAGCATTAACGATTGGTCACAGCGATTTCGAAGTCACTGAGGTAAAATACCTAAAATCCTCATACCGGAATCGAGAGTTATCGTCGTAGCTCAGCGGTTGTAAGAGCATTGACGCGCATACTCAAGGTCGTGGGTTTCGAGACCTACAACGCAACTTCCTTTCGGCCTTTGATGGCCGCATATTTAACCTCGTCCTCGTAATTCTAATAGTGAACCCTTTAGCTTCCTTTTGTATATATTAAGTTACGAAAAAAACTCTGTATAAGAAATACAATTTTTTTCGCTCGTACCTCGATGCACGAACATGTCCCGTATGCCCACTGAATCTTCTATCTACTATCATACCTTAGTTTTAAGTGCAGAGAGAGAAAAAGACAAGGTACTTTTATGTCAAGATGCGAACTAATTGAAAACTAATGGTTTTACTTTTTATCGCTAGATGGCCATTAATCGATGATTTTGCAGTTTAATCCACTTTCTTATAATTTCTTAATAAGTAGAACAGAAAGCAATGTAAAACTTGTCACTATACCAATAGTGTGCTAGTGTTTGGCTTTTTATATCAATATTTCTTTCAGTTATCCTCTTTTCAACGTTTTCATCTTTTCAAAGACAAATTGTAGAGGCAAATATAAAAATTAAATTTTTTCTTTTAGGAGGGCACAACCTTCAGGTATGGTAGACGCCTTTTTTTGTAAAGGATCACCTCCCTCTTGCAATAGTCTATTTGCTTCCTACGCATCTAGTATAAACTTGCAGTTCGAGTTTGCGGCTTCCGTACAGCACTTCGGATGAATGATGCCCGTGAAAAAGTTGAATGGTTTGTGTTATTGTACGGTGATTACTTATTATTTAAGAGTGCTTTTTTTTAGTAGTTTTTCTGTCTATCTAACCACTAAACTGTAATTTTAAATATAAATTTAAAATACTTTAAATATAGCAATTCGTTGGATTTGAATAACAATAAAAGTTTATTTCTGATTGACACAACGAAATATGAAAAATACACTATTAGTCCATACCTTCGCTCGACTTCCTGGGATGACATTAAAAATCGTTATCAATCTTTAAAGTTTGATTCCGAAGCTAAAGAGCTAGATATACCAACTAAAACCGAAAGTTATATAGAAGTAAATACAGCAACATTCACCCCGTCACCAACTTTAGTTGAAGACTTAAAAGAAAATCCCATTTCTAAGTTTGTTGTTGACAAAAATATAGATGTTAAAGAATCAATTTTAGACGTTATAAAAGGGAATAGCAGGAATGGAGGTAATGGTAAGTTTAAGACAGTAACAATTTTTCTTATCCCCTTTTGTTTCATCTTTATGTTATTTCTTTTTTTGTTTTGCTATGCAACCTTATTATTGTTAAAAAGAATAATTTTAAAAAAGATGTTTAAAAGTTTAAAACTCTTTGGCTATAATTATGTTCTAAAGGGTATAAAGATTAAGTGTACTTTGTTTCAATTAAGTTCTAGATACTTACTATTTTATTTACGATATAATACCTATAATAAAGGATGTTTATCGAATTATAAAACTTCTAAATTATTTACTTACCTTAATTTTTACTTTGTTTATCCTGAGACTAATAATAAGCCTTTCATAGAAGAATTTGCTTCAAGCGTTTTTTTAAAGATGAGTGAATATTCCTCCGGTAACTCTCTACCTCCCGATCAAGTAACCTCGAAAGTTGTGTCGGAAGAAAAGGATTATATAGATATGGAGCGCTCTGGTATACTTGAAGCAGAGTATGTGATTTTCAGTTATTTATGTATTTGTGCGCTCTCAATTCTATCAGGACTCACAAGCAGCTTTCTGGCGCGGCGCCCTCTAGGAAATTGTTGTTGTTAGGAGAACGCTCAGCTTCTGAAGGCCCTTCGTTATCCTCTGACTTGTCCGGCACCTCCCGGTCGTCTCCTATTAAGCTTCTTGCCCAGAGAAACCCTTCTGTCGACATAAACGATCCTTTCTGGTTGGTCAGGTCTGAACTTATTACGAAGTTGCGGACTCATCCCCATCACTCGCGGTAAAAAAGTCTTTATTATTCTGTGTCCGTTTTATCTTTACTATCATTACGCTCAGCTGTTACTCTTCTCTCAGCGGAACGCAACACAAGCGTTTCTTGTTTGATCTTCCCATGTTGCTTCAGGGCGTTCGCAGGTAGCAGTTCTATTATTGAAATCCTCAACGCTTTACCTTTACAGTTAGACAAAATCTTCACACAACTTCTTACACTCGAGAAATTGAAGAGGAATTTAACTTTATCAAAGGAAAACTTCAAATCGAGGAGCAACAAGTACGTCATCCAAGTTTGCAGATTCCTTACTATTTACTGTATGTTTTTCAGTATGTAGAAAGGGATAACTTATGGGTTTTGGCTAATCAAGAGTACTACGTTTCGGTTCCTAAAGTTGTCCTGCGGCATTGCCAGGTGGGTGACATTTCAACTTATTTCATCTTGAAAGTTTCTTACCATAATTGCCAAGTTAGATGGTTATCGAGCACAAAAGAGAGCGCATTTACTCTTATCCAGTACTACAAATATAAGCATATAACGGCCCAAAAGTTCTAATATATTTTATAAAGCGTTTCTATGTAAGGCACTCCACGGTGGGACTTGCGGCGCCCAAGCGAGACTGCTTACATCAACTTGAATGCAGAGACAATATAGTATATTCAAAGGTATTGCTAATCCTCTTCAAAGTGGGAGGGACACACTTTTACGAAATTTAAAAGGGGGTGACTCTAGAAGCAAAACCGCTTGAGCACATGTACATGCAGCTGGACCTAAATTGCCGCCAGGGATTGGGTCATTTTTCGTCTGCAGAGCCGAACCGTTGGGCAAAAAAAGTAGCCTTCGAGTTGACTGTGCTCCTTCTTTATAAGAACTCTCTTCGCCCGTGTTCAGGCCGTGCTAGACTTGAGTCGCGACCCGGTTTGCATGAATCTTGCGAGAGAACACGGTTACTTGCCTTCATGATGTTATAGCTCGTTAGTCTGAGTTATTTTACTTTATAAAACTGCGGTCAGGTGCATCTTTCATTGTTTGCAGCAGTGTGCTGACCTGCCTGTTTGACAACATTTCACCTCAATTTTCGAATGAATTTGAGATACCAGTGACCGTAGTAGTGGAGGAGGCGGCTGGAAAGCGCCATAAGATCATAATGCTTGATAAACCGCTTCTGCAAAGACGCTATGATCATCGCGAGTACAATAATATTTACATGTCAAAAGCGTATGAGAGTTTGCTCCTCGACACCAATGCTCCCCGTTTTATCCACCTTGACCGTACCTCAAGCAGCACCGAACAACTCGACGCTCTTGCAGCTAGCTCTTTTTCGCAAGAATTCTTCCACAGAAACAATCTTATATACAGCCTCTGCAACTTTGAAGGTGACTACTACGCTTGCATTTTGACCCCTTGCCTGTTAACTCAAACACCCTCATGTAGGGATAAAAACACTAGTTAGGTGCCGCATTCACGGTTTCCTTCCAGGTACAGGAGGATCTCCTTCTGGGGCTCAGTACGTTGGAATTAAAACGAAACTTGGTGGGGTCATTGAACTTCTTTCCTCCGGTGTACCAGCCTTATTTTAAATTTTAGAGTATATTCCTACCCACTTTACCAACGTTGGCCCTGAGGTTCTTACGATGAGCGAAAGGAGCCGTTTGTGGTACCTGTTCTTTACAGCTCCTTAGGCAGTTAGCTCACCGCCGGTATTGTCTGCAGCATATACTCGATGATAAGACCAGATCACTGCCTCTTGTTGGGAAGGGTGAATATGCTGACCTGCACTGTCCGAACTGAACTGATAAAGTCTACAAACTTTCTTATGGATAAAAATTCAATGTTAAGAATAATAACAATGTGTTCATAAACTTTTAAAGTCTGTACTAAAGAGGGCCCCTCACTGGGCGCGTCAAGCAAGTTCTGGACCATCTATTTACCTTGGAACCGGGTAAACTATTCTTTAGTTATGGTGTAACAACTCCTTTTAGACTGGTCTATTCGTCTTAGGGTCGTACCTCTTGTCGCACGAATGCGGCTCCGCAACGGTGAATGTTTATAGAAGCGTTAATGGCTCCACGTAAACCCCCTTCATTTTATATTTCTATCCATCATGACTGCTCCTTTCTCTCAGGGAAGCTGACTACGACTTGCACGAGACTGCGGCTGCTAGAGGCTCGTATTCAGCGGACGCTACACAACCAAGCGCTAAATATTTACCACCGCAATGGCCACTTGTTAACTTGAAGCCTTTGTTTATGGATACGAAGGAACCACCCACAGGAGCGGAGGAGTCGAAGTTATACCAGTTGCAGCAGCAGAGGCTCTTGCCATACGCATTTCCGTTTCGCCTTTTTGAAATTCCGAGTTTCACAGAACTGCGGAAACTTTCTAAAGTATATCTCACGGATTTCTCTTTCTGCTTCAAGTTCATAACACGCAGCTGCCCTAAACCGGGGAGAGACTTAAAAAAACCTCAGCCAGGACAAGTGAGTTACATCTAATGTAGATATTAAACTGCTTTCAAAAACTAATAACACTTCTCAAGTGCGCCTATCCTCATCTCACAGTGGATGATGTGATGGAGATAATACTTAGGAGAAAATTTCTTCAACCACGTGCAAGAGTAAAAGGAAGAAGACAAAAGAAGGAAGAGAAGCTGCAAAAAAGCAAAGGCGGTTGAAGAGTCCTAGTGCACAGTAAATGCTATTAAAGGACGCACAACTATTTTATTTCTTAGATTTTGGTGTCTTTTTTTTGTTGGACTCCGCTAGATCTCTTATTTTTTCAGAGACAATGGCCTGTTGAGTTATTCTGGTCATAATCTTTTCGCTAGAAATAAACTATGCGCTTACATTGAGCTCATCCATTTTCTTGATGCTATGGTCGTACAGGGCCACTTGCTCCGTCTGTTTTCTGATTTTCTCCATAAGGAGATTGATCAGGCCCTTCATAGTCTCCAAGGCGGCGTCCGGTTCAGCACTCTCCACCTCCACGTCGATGCCCTCGTTGGCCGTTACGGTCAGGGTCTTTAGCCGCTTCCCAAATTCAAGTTTCTGCTGCTGGAAGGTGTCCTCCGCCTCGCAGAACTTCAGCCTGTACCTCTCAAGCAGTTCTTTATGTCCGGAAAGACACGTGTCTAGGGTCAACTTGTCGTTCGCTGCAAGAGAGGAGGGGGCTTGAGACAGGCTTGTAATAGCCCCTCTCGACGAGGCTACCTTACCTTTCGAAAGAGTAGTCACTGAAAAGTCCAGAAGCTGGGACCATTCGCTCAGCTTTTGCTCGGCTTTTTCTGCATGGTTGGTGATGGTACGTGACAGATCGTGGCTTTGCTGAGTCACAGAAGAGAGCGTTTCTCCAAGTTGAGTAGACTCTTGACTGGCGCCTCCAATAGCTTCCCAAATGCTCTGCTTTTTCTCTTCTAGTCCCTTTTTCCTGCACTCGAGTTCTTCAATACGCGTCAGTTGATCCCCGATAATTTTTGTACTATTCGAAACATAATCTTCGTGCTATGAATGAATTAGTGCGTCACTACAGCGGCTGATTTAAGTCTGAGAACCTCTCGGGCTTTACCTGCTGGCTTAGAGATTCCATATTTTTATTACATTCCTCTATTTCCTTGACTTTTTTAGAAATCAGTTTTTTTAAAGCGTCGAATTCGACTGAAAAATCTTCAGATTTTCGAGTAAACTCGGCATTTTTTTCGGTCAATTCTGCAAGTGTCTGATTTGCAAGGATTTCTTACGGATATAGTGAGGTAAAATCAGGTGTAAGCCAAAGTTTTTTACCAGCATCGCTACATTTTTGTCGGAGAAGTTCTAGCTCTGTCTCTATAATGGTCTTACGAGTGGAAAGATTTTCGCACACAGACTCGCAAGCTTCCAACTGCAATATTATCAGTAACACTCGTAAAGCTTTAGTAAGCAAAAGAACACCTTTTTAACGAGAGCAAGAAGCTCCTCATTGATGGAGTCCATCTCCTCCTCGGAGGGGAGATACATCCCCAGATGTTGGTGAAAAATTTCCGCCAAAAATGCTAATATAACGCGATAGCAGTTGTCTTCTATGGCTCTTTGTGTGAGGTAGTTTTCAAGTCCAAGTTCACGTAGAACAGACAGAAAGCAGTGAATTTTCTATTTAGTTTTCGATAGTAGTATATAATAAAAAAATAAATCTAAGCTTTAAAAGATCCTACCTCATCTGTATTACTAAGATCTTTAACTTTGCTCATCTTTGCAGGATCGGAATCTTGAACACACTGTTCAATAACTGTTATTAAAACATCCACGTCGTTCAATCCCGATTCAATGGAAGACAAAATTACGTCTTTCTGAGCCTTATAGAAACAGTATTGTAAAGATTAAAGGCAACGTACAGCTATATGAACACCCGTTTCAAGTGATAGTTCACCCATCGCAGAAGTATGCCTTCGGGAGACAAATTTATCAAAACATACAAATCCTCTCCTCTTTCCAGTGAACGAATAAGTGCCAAATTTCTAAATAGAAATTAATAACAGTAAGATTACTTCGTTGAATAACTTTTCTGGTCTTACTCGCTTAGACTGACGTTTTTTAGTAAGTTGCATCTTAGCACTTCCCATAAAAATCCATGAGGATCTACGAAATAAGACTTTACAATTCTCCCCCTTTTCTCCAAAGCTACAGAGTTGGAGGATAATAATACCCACATAGGCTACTAATATATATATAAGGTAAAATAAGTTACCTTCACCAACTCGAAGTAGGTTATGCTCTTTTTCTGCATCAGTGTCAGCAGGAATTTTTATAAGTTTTACAAGTAAAGGGTCTTCGAATGTCGCGCTAATTATTTTACTAAGAAGAATGCCATCCGACAAAACTTTATATATCTCAAGGTTTTAAGAATAGTTAGCAGTTACAAACACCACTTAAAGGCACTGGTATAAAACGAAAGAGGTTAAAAATTAGTACCGAGGATTTATTAAGTGACTGATAGCGCTCACAATCAGGAAAATAATGAGCCTGCCTCTGATAAAACTTAACAAAAAGCAAGCTCTCCTCCTCGCTCATAGTAAAAGATGAACAGAACAACTGGGGTGGCAAAACTACTACGCGATGATATCTCTTCTATCCCTTACCTTATTTAGCATTTTTTGTGAGCTACACTTAGCAATGAAAGGCTTACTTCCCGTATCACTCAGTCGTTAATTAAGTAAAGATTAAGATCACCCAAAAAAAAGTTTAGTCGCAACTCTTATAGAATTTCAGTTATTCTTCAGCTGTAAAGCAAATCAAGATAGTGAACCCCCTCCCCCCTTAATAGAGTTGCTTACTGCGGTTAGGGGCCGATCTCGTTGATAATTATCTCGCGGGGCTCCCTCATAAAACAATTTACTAATAAGGCCTTCACTATGTAAGTAGGGGGTGGTAAATTTGGGGTTGCTGCTGTTGCGACTGTTGTTTAGTGTAAATCTTGTGACAATTTTAACATCTGAACTTTAATTTAAGTTAGCATAAGTTTTGCTAATGACAAATGTTTGCATTATCATTATAAATAAAAAATTGTCAAGCAGTGTAGGTTATATTATGTCTAGTATTGTTTGCTTTGTTACGCAAAGATCCAAATAGGCTATAAATTCCCACTTTTTAGGCAAAATATTGGCCTAAAAGTATGTACTAGTATATTTTACAATTGTTTTAACTTAGACCCCACTTGCGTAATCCCTTGAGTTGACTGTAGCGAAAATTTATTAAACTATCCAACTGCACCTTGGAGATGAAAATAAAAGTAAGACACTGGGAGTACTGTTCATAAAAATATTATACTAAATTTTGGTTTGTATAGTGACTTTAGACGGCTTACGTTAAATTTAAATTGGATCCTCTTTACTATTTAATAATTTACACGCCACTAATATATTTAATTTTTTCGGGCTAAAAGTATTAGTTTGCCGCCAGAAAAATATTTTTTATACATTAAAAAAAAATATATTGAAAAGATCAACTTATAATTTCTTCTTAAACTATTTCAGTCATCCATGGCTGCTGCTACTCTGCCCAACTATGTCCTACCTACAATATAACTAATACCTTTAGCACGTAAATTTTGTCTATCTCAGTCAAATTATTGTTGTTAAATAATTTACTTATATTTAAAACTAATTAGAGAAGTTCAAATGAAAAAAAAAACTATGTTAAAGTATTTCAATTACTTGGACAGGCCCCTTGTAATTTTCCCTTCCAAATTTTTTTGCTTTAAACGCCGACTTTGAAAAAGCGGAAATTTTTTCATCGTTACAATTAACTGTTTCTGTCTCAGCCCAACTCCTTTTTAAGAATTCAACAGTTTCATTGCTTTTTTTCGGGCTGATTTAGCCGAATTAATACCACTTCACACCCCTTTTAAGTCATTGTGCACGTAAACTCTTCTTAATTTGGCTTCTCTTTAAACATCTTATAAACAGGCCCAGCTCACAGTATATAGGTGATCTGTCATTTTTATATATACGTTACTCATCTATTAATCTTATTTATTTAAGCAATCTTGTTAAACTAATTTTCAGCAGTGCTTTTCGAATTATGAATAATTCTTTCAGCAATTTTGTTGGATGGATGGTGGCTAGTAGTAAAAAAATGTTTATTTTTATACTGAGAAAAGTTTACCATTATCTTGTTTTTATAGACCTATTGCCGGCCAAGAATAAATTTACCTAAATAGCAACAACTTAAACATATTGTTTAAACATTTTATAACTAATCCAGTAATTCTCCCTTTTAAAGCTATTACGCAGACAAGCAGAGAATACCTTTCGACTATAATAATATTATCAAATCTTTTCAAAGCTCGCGGTATTTTTTAAATTAATATCCGCTAAAAAAAGTTCAAACGGTCTCTGTACTGCATCTTTTAAGAGAAACTCCTCGCGCGTCTCACAGCTTTTCCTATCATATCTGTTACAGGTAACGTACTCCTTGCAGGCTTGATCCACCAAGGTATCCGAGTTCTTACTACTTATAATACTTTAATTTATCACTTTCAACATGAAGGGGTGTCAGAGTGCCTTACTGATGGCATAACGCTTTTCAAGGCAATGACTTTGTAGCACATTCATATTAGAAGGGTGTCTGGACAAATTATCGCACATTATTTTTTCCAGATATATATTATAGCTTTCAGAAAATTCTTCTACCATGTTTACAGCGTATTAAAAATTTGTCTCTTAGTTGTGTGTACTCCATCAACTAGTGGGTACACATCAAACGACAGTCTGCGTTTCTCCATCGTTTAAGTTATATTTTCTGAAGAGTTAAATTTTGAACACTTAAAAAAGCAATGTAGTGCACACGCCCTGAGTATCTTTGGTAAAGGTACCCATCCCTATATCTTTGGATCAAAAGAATCACGTAATACCAGGTAGGATGTACTGCACGCAAATTCCTTTCTCTACGAGGCAGCAGTTTCCATGCATCCTCATCTTCTTCTTTTCATTACAACTTTAATTTTTTTTTTCTTAATAGTATACTGAGGCTAGCCCGTGTTGTGTAACCTGTAGGAGGGGGAAAGCCCATTACAAAACGTGAGTATTTATTTAAAATATTGAGACGCTGTCCACACCCTTGCACTTTTCGGCATTTTCATTATATCGCTAACTAAATGCACGAAAAATTCTTCTGTCGTATTTTCTCTGGGAAGTAGAAATTTCTTATTAAAACGCTTAATGCAAAACATTCTCTATCATTCGGGAATCTTTCATAAACGTGCACATGTGAAAAAGCGAAAGGAGGTCCGCTGTCGCTAAGAGTATGGCACATAACTGTTTTATGACGATTAATATCCTAAAAAATGGGTCTTGAATTAAACCTGCAATAACATGTCTTCACAATTAACACTTTTTTCTTAAAGAAAACTCCTTGCAGTAAATTAGGCTTTATCCTTTTTGGTTGTTTTCATAGTCTCCACGTGATTGTCAACTTTTCGAATTTTGAAATTTAAATTTTATAATTATTAATACCTTGCTCCCTTACTCTTTTAATGACCTAACAGTTTTTCAGCTGGCAGCATTCACTAAGTTCTAATTAGGGATATTTTTTTATTTTCATTAATAGTAAGTTTTATTCAGCTTATTTACTGTTCATGTTTTCCATGTTTTACCGGAAATCTCTTTTTGGTCAAGGTTTTTTTCTAATTTTTTGTGTTCTTGTAATCTATAGCAGTCCTATAATCACTTGTGCTTGTTTATTTCTTTGTTTAATTTTTATAGAATTCTTACAATAAGTTTATGTGTTCGGTGTGAGTTAATATTTGTTTAATTAAAAGATGATGTTTTAAGTATGTTGTTAGTTTAGTGTTACCTTAGGTTTCGTAGCTTTATTATCAGTATGCTTTGCTTCGTTATTAGTAATTATATTACTATTTAACGTTTTGGCTTCAGTTAGCTCACAAGTTGAGTGTTTCTTTTCGTTATTAATAATTAGCATGTTCTTTATTGCTTACAAGTTTTTGTTTTTTAAGTCATCTCTTTGTTATGGGAGGTTAGAAAATTATTTATATTTAACATAATTATTATTATCTTAAATCTGTTCATCTCCTTAGTGTGGTGGGTATCATAATTAGAGTATAGGACTTAATTATTTTCCAGTTGAGCAGGAGATTTCGTTAATTCGTGATTTTTCGTATATTTATTGTAACAAGTAATGTATCATCAAAGAACTCTTCTACTGGACTTAAATAATAAATTAGTTCGTGTGTGGAGAATTTTTTTTAATTGGTCTTCAGTGAGTTTATAGAATTGCGAGTACTTCATTCACAATAGCCCGCTTATAGAATAAACTATATTACATCTGATTGTAAAGAAAATATGCGATAAAAACGTAAATTGATTTTAAGCCAATTTAGCAATCAGACGCCAGTAAAGTTGGTATGAGGGGCATTCTTTTTCAAAACATATTTAAGTGGTGTAAAGATTAATAATAATTAGAGCTCTATAGCGTCACGGATACAGAGACACCAGCTGTGCATGATGCGCTAATGACTTAATGGATATCATTAAACTACATGATAAGAATATAACGGTTGAAACTGATAATCAAACTCTATTGGTGTATAAAATAATAAAAATGATGCAGTAATTGTAAAGAAAAAAGGACTAATTATCCCCGGCAAATAATTAAATATGTAATAGTAACTAAATTACTGTTGCGGCTCAGTAGAGGAAGTATAAACTCGAATAATGAAAGGAAAGTTCAACTATTTTAAGATAATTACATACTCTTGTTTCAACTAGAAAAGAAGAAAAAGAAAATGATGCCAAAATAGTGTTAGCTCCGACCTTTTTAATGATGTATTTATAAAGCTAGAGTTAAAGTTGTAAAAATATTACTTTACATCCTTAATGGATTGTGTCCTTTGAGTTTAAACTTTATACCGTATACATCAATTAGTAGGTTAATTCGTTTTGCTTTTTAAATGGTCGACAAAAATATCTATTTGCAAAAGCATCATTCCATTAATAGCCATATAATTTAGACTGTTTTAGAATACCTCACGTCCTATTACAATTCATTTGGAGGTTTTTTACGTTTAACATACACTATTGCTCACGAAGAAATGGGAAGTAAATAAAAAAATTTTAAAATACTATGAAAAAGGTTTTAATGTATTGCGGTGGTGTCCAGTTTATAGAGCTCAAACAGTCTTTTTGATAGTACCAATATGTGAATGTTTAATTTTGATAGAGCTTTAGGATTTAATTGTTTGAAGACCTGCCCAAAGCTTAATGCCCTTAAGCCTGGCAGTGATTTCTCCAGAGGTCTCGACACGGGAGCCCCTGGACAGTGATCGAAGTTCTTAGACGTGCCTTATAACTTAGGGTATGCGTCACCCAATCCTGATGTATTTACATACCGCAGACGTCCCGTAAACCCAAGCAAACAGTTTTTTTTAATAGATTATAGTCAAGTGCACTTATAGATGGCTTGTATATCTGAAGTGGCTCGTAAAATACCCTTGGGTATTGAAAAAACGTTCAGAGTTTGTAACTCTACACCTGGAGTTTTTTAGGTGCGGTTTATTGCCGAAAGAGCAGGTGTGAAA